TTTTTTTTTTTTTTTTTTTTTTTTAGCTATTTGAAGCTATTTCTGTGTAGCCCATAGTTGGATATTTTTGCAAATATCTCAATAACTGGCAATTATTTTCAGTCTTATTCTGAACTTTAACTCTGGAATGGACCCAATATAGTATAAATAAAGGCAAAGATTTCAAAATATATCAATAACAAGAAAACAACTAATTATTATAACTTTTTGTAGGCATTGTCATATATCATCAACATGAGTCAAGTCATTTTTTACTATTTGATTGGCATTTTATTAGACACTGTCTCCACTAATTCTTCCCTTCACAGAAATTAAAATCTCCCATATATCCATCAGTTAACTTTCTTAAAATCTCAGACAATTGGTCATTGTTCCTTAATGTAGAGTAAAAACATCTTTCATTAAATCAGCCAAAAGCTATAACTGAGCATTGTGTTGTACAATGTTTGCATATAATTCTTTTAGTGCTGTGGAAATCTACTCCAAATTTACAAGATTAATTCCATTCTAGAATTTCCTTCAGTAACGTCCCAAAATTGCTGAAACATTTTTGAAGAGTTTCTTACTTCTGAGCACCTTGTTTTCACTTTTTGGAGATAGTCATTTTCTAATTGTAATAAAGCATGTGATCTGTTATAATTTAGATCTAAAATGTCCCCAAATTTCTCATGTGTATGGAAAGTGATTGGTCAGGCTAGGCTATACTTTCTGGTGCGTTTATCTATTGATGAGTTTAGGAGCAGAATATGCTATCACCACATGGGACCTGGTGGGAGGAGGGTCCCTTGGGGTGGGACCCGGAAGGCTGCATTGTTATCTTGGGTGCCTCCCTTCTCTTTCTGCTTCCTGGTTGCCTTGGATGAGTACCTTTTTCTCTGTAATGCACCTCAACCATCTTGTTTCTGCCTTGGAGCCGGCCAGCCTTGAACTGGAACCTTCAGACAAAATAAATCTTTCTTCCTTGGAGTTGTAGGGGATGGGTATGGTGCCCCGACAAAAAAGGGAAAGTGACTAAGACAGAATCTTTTCTATAAACTTCTGTCTATACTTAAAGTTTTTTGTACTTCTACGTCTTTTCATAAGAATGACAGAAAAGTCAGTTTTCCTACCCTATCTATTAGTCATTTGTTCACTCATTCATTTCATTTAGTATTTGAAAAACGAAAGATGTGTAATAAACCTGGTTAATCATTTCCTGGCTAATCTGGTTTCCTAAGGAAAATCAATAAACACACACTTCTTCTCTTATTTTAAATTTTATTTGTTTCCAAACTCTTTCTGGAGTGTGTACTATGTGCTGATGGAGTAGAGATTACGAGAGAAATTAAGTCTTTGTGGATAAGAACCCATTAGTTCAAATATAGCCTTCTGGTTCAATTTGCATAATAATGCTGTAAAATTGCCCTGTAGTTCTTATAATATTAGAAGTCTTTGTCCCTTTTAATAATTTATAATTAATATTATCTAAGCAAAGCTATCCTATGTTTGTGAAAATCCATGCACATTTACTAATAGTTTAACTAACTAGTGCTCAAGCTTCAGAGCCACACAGAGGTTTGTTAGAACCCAGACTGTGGCTTCATACTCACAGCTGCTGATGTTGTACATCCGGGGTAGGGTCTGAGAATCTGAGTCTCTAGCAAACTCCGCAGTGATGCCTGGGAAACACATGTGGATTTAAATTACAGCTCGGCAAACTAAAGCCCCTGGGGTAGATCAGGCCGATACTTGTTTCTGTAAATAAAGCTGCAGTGCCCCTACCACATCAGTTGCCATTGTCTACGGCTGCAATTGTGCTACTGTGACATGGTTAAATAATTGTGACAGGAGAGGCTTTATGACCGACAAAGGCGAAACTATTTACGACCTGGCCCTTTGGAGGAAGAATTGCCAACTTCTGATTGAAATGATTATTATATTATCACCTGGTAGTCTCATCGGGAACTATTTTTGTGACTTTTAGTTAAATATTATCGTGACAACCACAAAGCCAAAGCAAGAATTACTTGCTTGAAGTTTTCCTGGGGGGTGCTTAATAGGTGCTTTTAAAGATTTAACCAAACAGGCTACAGACAATGTGATGCAAAAAACAAAACAGAAATCATCTTTTACTCTTCCGGTGTGTGAGTGTGCCAAGAAGAAAAGAAGAATGAACATTGAAGCTTAAAGAGTGCAGAGTGAATTAGCTCAGTAACCAGATCAAACTCTATTATTTTACAGATCAGCTGAGAAATTCTAGATGTCTGATGGTAGCCGACTGTCAGTAGAGGAGAGTGGTTATTTTCACAATTTTCTTTTTCCCAAAGAGATAATGTTGTTTTACTTCTTTCAAAATTAAATTGTAAAGAAAAAGACTGAAGAGTATCGGAGGCGAATTGGTTATTTAAAATTAATTTTAAAAACTACTTATCACCCAAAGCGCTGTCGATTCCGAGGGAGCAAAAGAACTGGGGACCCCTCACCCCAAGGTTTCAACAGCCCAGTTACTTCGTAGAAGAGCACTGATTCGCCATGGCTGGTCCATGATTAGGACACTGACTTTAGGCTGGTTAAGACCCCAGTAGGAAAACCCTGTTAAGTCCTTCACTTCGGAAGAAGCCAAAACAAGTTTAGCAAGTAATTATTCTCTTTGAGAAAAGGTTTCTAGCTTTACTTCTGAATATGTTTTGCTTAGATTGAATGCCAGACTGTGGTGGTTGCAAAATGACTTCATGTATGGTATCCATGTCCCTTCCACTTAAATCTGGGTGGACCGGTGATGGTTTGGACAGTAGAGACTGATGGCGGTGATTACATGTAATTTCCAAGACCAGTCATGAAAAGTCATGCAGCTTCTGCTTTGGGCTAGAGCAATTACTTCTGGAACTCTAATTTACTTTATCAGAACTCCAGGTTCTCCTAGGGTGCTGTGCAATGGAGAAATTGAAATTATATGGCGAGGCCACACAAAGCACTTAAAATCCTAGCTGCACCCAGCCCTCAAATCTTCCCAGCTCTGTCGCCAAACATGTGAGTAAAGAGGCCTTCAGATAATTCTAGCCTGCAGCTGTATATATTAGCACTCACCATTCAAGTGTTTTCTGCAGAGACTTCAAGTGTTATGAAAAAAAAAAGACTATTCAAAGTGTACATCCTCTCAATTCTTGAGCTATCTACATGAGTGTGTTCAGAGGTAATTTGTCAGATAGCTGTCTGTAATTGGGACAAAATTTGTTACTAGGTGTAGGCTGTGCTACAACAAAACCTAAATCATAGGACAGTTTGGGGGATAGAAGTATGGATAGAAAAGTAATGGAGGCAAGAAAGCAGCTGTTTAATATTTCAAGAAAAGTAAAGAAAATACAGCAGAAAGTCGAAGGAAAGAAGGCCCTTCTTATGAGTAGCGGAAAGTTGCCATCATTGCTGCTGCAGTATTGTGGAAAGCTGATGATCCAGCTAAGGAGATTTCCAGGCAGAGTATTGAAGGTGCCACCTAGTTCCTTTTATCTGCCTATTATAAAACATAAAGGAAGTGAAGTGAAATGAAGAACACATTTTCACTTTCATACAGAATTTAGAAGAAAAATAAGGAGCTCATAATGATCTTTCCAACCAGCAAAGGGCAATATAAAAAAAAGACTTCAGGGCAAAAATTAAGTCCAAGACGTTGTCAGTAAAATGCACTGTCAGAGTCAGACTGCAGAATTAGTGGAAAAAGCAGAGAATAGCAAGCTTCTAAGAACAGTGAGGGTCCTTGTCTTTTTAAGCAATAACTCATGCACAGCTCTTGCTCTTGTTTACCACCATTTTATGCTTGTTTGCTTTCGTAAATGATAATTTCACTGATTTACCTTGAACCTACTTTTATTATCTCAGAGATGTGGAATTCACCTCTGTAAATGGCTAAATTTGTGATTATTTCAGGGAATGTACGCTTAGAATTTTGACTAAAGTTGCCGGAAATGACTTGGTCAAACTAGTTTTCTGAAGGTAATGGATAAGGTTATGATAATAGTTATAGTGCAATCATGTTTCTTATCTAAATTATTTTTTAAAAGGTCTATGAAGGTTGAAATCATTTACTCAAGAAAGAAAAGGAAGAAATGAAGAATTCCATGAAGTATATTATTTTTCTTCTATCTTCATTCTATGTACCTGACTAGGTAAAGAATTACATGCTACTAAGCAGATAAAACTGAACATGCATATGTGTGTTTATATCCAGAAATGAAAATATGTTTCATATCGAAGAGAAGCATTAATTTTATTGGGTAAACAGTGTAGAAAACATTAGATACTATGTAAGATAGCTAATGCTGTGACCAAGTATCTCATCTTGGCAAATTCCTTTTCTAAATATTAAAATATAGAACTAAAAAGATCTCTGAAATTCTACACGTCTAATGAGAGTGACTTTACCCATGAGGAGTGCAATGCTAAGTTAAACATTTCCTTTTTTGGGGGTAAGAAATACTGGAATTTGAATCCAGGGCCTTACACATGCTAAGCAAGCACTTTACCACTGCCCTCCAGTCCTAGCTCCTCACTGGAGCATTTTAAAGAGTTTAAATTTATGGAAAATTCCCAATCATATCAAAGAGTTGTCTAATTCTTTAATATAAAAGTATAAATTTCAAGTCGTTGACACTTTAATGTGAGTTCTCCATGTAATATTTTGACAAGTAATAATCAACTGAATACTAATATTGCAACTGCATCATTTACATATATAACTCTAGTATTTGTAATATAATAATAGTCTCCAATAACAGTTAATAAGCACTTCAAAATATGTGTTTGAATTGGTGTATTAACTAATTGAAATATAATTGTGAAACCAGTGAAATTTCCATTAAGGATATTTACTCGCTTTCTTGCATGTGGAAATGAATGTATTAGGTGTCCAGACTATGATCTTCATCAAAACTGTATGATTAATATGTTTGCAAACAAGTTCTCTGTATCAATCACAGTAAATAATTTCAGAGGTGAATAAAAACAGATTATCTTGTTGAAACATTTATATCTTAATGTTTACAATATCCAACTTCTTTGCCTGGGAAGATGCAGATAATTATAACAGAAATTCCTTAACTTAGGTTAGTTTATATTTTAAAACATTAATCTGTAGTTTGACTAAATTGTAATTTGACTGAGAATTCATGTAATGTAAAATAAAAAAAAAATTCTTAAGTGGGCAGAAAAAGACACAAGAGAATGCATTATTTTTCCCCCTAAAAAACTTGGTTTCTTAGAAAGACAAAATAGAAAACTTCTATATGTTTGATTTATAAAATAGCAAATCAATATCAAAATTTTTAAATGCAGCATAATTGTGAAAGTTTATGTTTAGCTTTTGGAATTTCAAATTAACCTCTCCTTTCTTGCCTAGAGTCTGGAAATCACTTAGAAGCCAAACACTTAATGACTGGTATTACTGATTGATAGAGACAGGTTGGAACATGTGCTTAGAAAAGAGAGGCAAATAGGATCCCTAACACTTAGCCATAGAGTTAGGCAATCTGACAAATTCAGGTCCAAATTCCTTCTGCATTTAAGACGTTTGGGTATGGATGGGACATCATCACCTCAAAATGGACAAAAATGAATTTCTTCATTCTATATTCCGAATCTATTGGTCCCCACAACTTCTCTATTTCTCTTAGCAGCAATATCCGAGACTGTCCCTGGAGTCCAGGTCTAAACTTCTCAGAATCGTTGACTTATTTTTCTTCCTTTCCTTTTAATTTAGGGGAAATAAATTCGCTACCCTTCAGTGAAATTGTCTTTACTTCTTTTTTATTTTTCAGTCTGAGCTACATGTGTTATGCACTTTGCATATAGACCTCTTCAAAGAGGATCTGGCTGAAAGGTAAACGTACAGGAAGGAAGGGGATGTACAAAGGATCAAGATGTAATATGTATATGTACCAGTTCCCCCACAATGAATATGTTTATTATGGATCTCAAACATCTATTACCCTGATCAAAAGCATTTTGCGGTTCCCATTTCTACAGTCACGCTTGTGTTTCATCAAAGAATAGATAAAGCCAGGCATGGTGGTGCATACTTGGATCCTAGTATTTTGGGAGACTGAGGCAAGAGAACCACAAATTTGAGCCCAAGTTTGAGCTGGGCAACTTAGAAACTTAATGAAACTCTGTGACAAAGTGAAAAGAAAGAAAAAAAAAAGAGAGAGAGAGACTGGGGAAGTAGCTCAATGTGAAAGCTTTGGGTTCAATCCTCAGTGATTCAATAAATAGGAAAGTAAGTAAATCTATTAATCAGTCAATAAGTGAAATTTTGTGTTTCAGTGGAAATAAATACATTGTTCAGAGTGCACACTTCCTAGTGATTCTGATTCTGTGGAGACCTCTTTTCTTCACCTTTGAACTGTCTTACACCGTAGTTCTAGATAACTGATAGCAATGCAAATCAATTCATTACTGTGGACATGCAAACAAATTTGGTCGGGTGGATGTTCAAGAGACTCCCCTCTCAACGATGGAAGAAGCAATTTTGCCTCCCTTTGCATGTGCATTTCAATAGTTCTGATTCCTACATGTGACTGTTCTTTGTATTCGCTTTCCTATGGATTTAACATCTTACTGGCTCCTTTACTGATAATGAGTTAAAGATAATCTTTAACATGTACTCATTTTTTAAATTATCTGTGTAAGACTTGCTATTTTACCTTTCAAAAATTATTTTTCAAAGAAACAACACTTCTCAGTTTAGTTTTAGTGTAAGTTTTTTGCCTATTTTT